TAATATTATAAATAATTTAGACGATATAAAAATAATTGAACCGTTGAATTGTAAAAGACCATAATTATATTCACTCCAACTCCAGCTCTGTGCGTTTGGGCGACAAGCCAACCTTCCGTATATATAAAATAACTTTATACTTCCAATACAGTCCAATGGTTCAGTTATTACAATTTTCGATGTGCAAAGATTTGCTCAATTTTTTTTTAATCGTCTTAAATCTTTGTCACTTTTTTATGAGATCTTTCCTTCACAATCGATGTAAAAGTGAAATGAATTTCGTTTAAATATATGATAACTAATAAAGTTAAATGATAGCAATAATAATAATAATAATAATAATAATAATAATGACATTATTAACATAACAATATATAGAAGCACCTTAATATAGTAAATGTAAATCTGAGTAAACTGCATCATTATTCGCGACTCCAGAAAATGTAAATTTTCACTTAACCGATATCGCAGTTATCGTTATCGCCAATCATTATTAACGTAACAAATAGAATCGCAGAAACGATAACTGACAAATGGATAAATTTTATATCAACTAATTTCTCTGCACTCAGTTTTCTCAGTCGCGACTTGTCACTTTTCATTTTTACATTCATCAATTTGTTGATTTAAAACAAATATTAAAACATTTTGAAATTGCACGTTTAATTTACCTTGCTTACATAATTGTGAAAAATAGTATAATGCTCATTGTCAATGGATTATGATGTCACTTGATAGTAAAAGGATTTTCTTCTTAATTTTAATTATCATTTTAAATATAAATATTTTTCCCTTGAAGTTGCTTTAAAAAGAAGGAGATTCTACATATTTACTAATAATAATGGTTATGACGCGTCCCTGATTATGTTCACTGTGAATATCACTCTACACTTACACATATCAATGATTCGATTCTGGTAAGTACATAAATCACGAAATAGTCGAGGCAGTCTATTACACTAAAGAATTTATAAAATCATTTAATGTTTTTATTAATTTTACGTTTTTATAATAATAATAATACAAAAAACAAAAAATGCACTGTAAAAAACAAAACAAGTTTCCATTTCAATAAAAGATGGCCTTATAAATAAGTTTAGTATCAGAATTTTCTTTTTAAATACACTCGCTCGATCATTTCGTGTTATACATTTATAACTAATAAGTACAAGAAGACTGTCGCTCTTACGTTTAAAACGAAGAACATGGTTGGGTACATGTCTGTCGCCAGTTAAATCTCGTAACAATCAAATGAAGTAACAAACAAAAACAAGTTAAATATCACGGCCTGCCTGCTTCAGTTTTCCTGAGTTTGTTATTTTATTATACCTAAATAGGTATAATGCATTTTAATCGTGCTTGATTATGAGTACCTGAGATGGCAGCTTTCGTCTCCTCTGTCAACTTGTCTGACTAAAATTAAATGTAACGTAAACAAATAAATATTAATGTATCTGTACTGCACTTGTTTGTTCTTTAATATAAATATTTTCTTGTGTTTTGACAGAGAAGATTCAACTGCATGCACGATTGTCTTTTTAAAATATTGCAATACTGTAATTTGAATACGGTGACTATTGTAGACTATGAATGGTGGTGCAAAATTGAGTTTGGCAGGCGATCTTAAGCTGCAAAATGTTGTTCGCGTAAAAAAATACATATATGTAACGTCACATATATATATATATACATTTATATATATTATATATTATATTATAGAGCTATATAAATACTGTAGTAAAAAAATCTATCTGTCGAGACGAACACATGACTCTTGTATGTAATAATATCGTTCAGCCTGCCAATAACTACAATTTTGCAAGGAAGTCGCTGGATTTATCATAATGATATTATTTAAAAAAAACAAAAAAAAAAACAAAAGTATATCGACGAGATCACTGTGATTACATCGCCAAAAAAAGGCGTACATGTACTTTGCGATAGTAATAATAATTGAATGGTAAATTAATCGTTTATCATTGAATTTATAAAAAAAAGCTATGGCACTGTTTTTTTTGACGATTGATAATAGTAATAATAATTTCTAGTCGAGGAAACTTAAATATTATTCAGATCATTTACGGTTTTTCTCACGATTAATAACTTCGCGCGTCAATTTCAATGATTCTAAAAATCAGTATGTCTTCTTTTTTAGCTCTAATTAAATTTCCGTCAAAAATTTGTACTCTGCATGATTTTTATCTTCGTTACTAATCTTTATAAAAATTACATAAATGTTTCGTTCGTTTATAGAGAGCTTAAGGCAAGAAATGGTTTCTTTGTACCGGAGACATCGTCCGTTAATTTTTTTCTTTTTCTTTTTTTTTGAATTCCAATTACTGTAGATGAACGCAGTTTTGGACGTATATGTATATGTATAATCTACGTTTCGACGTATACAAATGTTGACTCGTATACTTTCGTATATAAGTGAGTAAAATTTATAAAATCAAAAAGGTAAAATGATTTTGTTCATCCACAGTTGAATTCGCACATTCCACTTGTTGATTCTTAAACGTCATATTAATATACCTTTTATTTTAGAATCTTAATTCTTCTTTGCTAACATATCGCTCTTTCTTAATAACTGATTGACTTACTACTTATTATACTCAGAGTATTGTGTATAGTGCCTATAGGTATGTTACATTACAGCCTACATATAAGTACATTACTCAAATTATTAGCTGGCGTATGTATTAGTAGGAACATTTTGCTTATGTTTGTCGAGTCACGACACTACTTGTCATGAAATTCAATTTTTTTTCAGATTTGACAAACCTGCACTAAACTCATTTTTGTTCATCTCTAAATTTTTCACTACATCCATACTACTGAAAAAAATTTTTTTTAATGATTCTATACGGAGACGACCTAATAACTCACGCGTGTGACTCTAAGTTAAAATCATTCAAAATAATTTTAATGATATATATGTATATATATATGTAAAAAAAATTAATAAAATAATACATTAAAACATGAATTAGTTAAATCGAAAATACTCACATTTAAAAATTTCAATGGCAACAAATATAAAACGAAAACTTATTAACGATTCTACGTGAAAAGTTGACAAATGTTGTTCGCAAAAATAATCGTAGTGTTACGCGTAGTTATCTCTAACTTTTTTTTATAAATCTAGGCAATATATATATATTTAATATATATTTCCTCAACATTCATATATATAATATTAATAATTAATAATAATAATTATAATTATATCTCTTGTCGAACCAACGCAAAAAGCATTGATAGAACTTTTGAAAGAAAAAGAAAATAAAAAAAACAGCTGCGGCATCATGGTTGAAATTCTTATTATCTTGTTACACATTTAATACGTCCTACAAACGATTCGTATAATTTCCCAGTATTTTCTGACTCTGCTGTTGAGAGTCAATTAGAAATATGTACTACATTTGCAAAGGTCACATTTGATGACCGCATCAAATTTTCCATTAGCGCATATAAGTATTATCTTCGTCTTTTGGTACACTTGTTTCTTTCTTCTCTTCTTTTCCTCTCTGTATCTTGGTTCTTTTGCGAGTGATAACTTATTGTTTTTTTTTTTTTTTTTTTGTTAATGAATAAATCCTATGAGCTATCGTTTATTATGTGCACTGAGGTAGACGGATGGAATATTTTAATCAGAATTGGTCTCGAGCTTTAATAGATTCTCGATTCCAAAGATGACGAATGTTCGCGTCGTCAAAAACTATTTCTATAATCTGTTTTGAATCTCTATTAAAAACATTTTCTTTGAAAAATATAATTGCCTGAGGTAGTGGATCACGTTTCGCACATCTGCATGAAAATTGCTTCCCTGTTTTGGTACATGTAGACTACTATTGTTAGACCATTATAGTGACTGGTAAATCCTGAGCTCTGCAATTCTAAAATTCTTACAACTATGCTTTCATCGCAATTCGGTAATAAAATCAGAACCTGCTCAAGGAAAAAGTTTCTTGTTACTCTGCTTTAACACCTTCTGGAGACTCGTTCTCGCTGAAGTCATCTTCTTCGCCAGCCGATGAATCCCCTTCCTCCATGGGCATGCCGTGTCGGTCTTCGTGCATGACACCGGGTCCTCGACCTTCGTCCCGTCCAATCATGGGATAGTCCTCGATTCCACGTCCACCCATTTTGTCCATGGCGTTCAAGTGAGCAACTTTGGCGGCCGCGACGGCTGCCGCCTGTTCTGGACTGAGGCCAAGTCTCGTCAGGTTTGAATTCTGCGCCAACATTTGGAGGTACGTTTCTAGAAGGGCACTCGTGTTGTAGTGCTCCGGGAGATGAACCGGTGGATGCAGCGATGCCAAGTTAGGCTCTCTGTTCATGTGATACGAGTCCATGGATTTGGCAGCGACAGCCGTGGCTGCACTCTTCCCGTTCCCGCTAACCTTGGTGATGACGGTGTTGTTGTTGGGTGTTGGAGAACCATACCTTAAGCTCAGAGGGAGAGTGAGATCTTCGGGATCGTCACCTCCGCAAATAGAACTTCCAGCTTCCGAGGGCGCTCCCCCTCTAGGTAATTCCAGTCTCATGTCTCCTCTTCGTGGTCCCGTGGGACTTGCGCGGGCCCGAAGTTCCGCCGGACTCACTTTCACTCCAGCCTTGGCCAGCAGCCGCGACGCCAACTCGGGATCGAAGGGACTCGGCATTGCCAAGACCGGCAGGTCCTTGGTGCTGATGCCCCGATGCTGCCGTGACATGTGTGAATGAAGAGAGTTTCTCGACTTCGCCACTGTGCCACACAGCACGCAACGATAACCGGGACAAATTGTGTGCTTGTCTTCCAAATGTGTTCGCAGGGTATGCGCTGAACGATAGATTTTACCACATTTTGGACATGGTCTCGGATCTGTTGCTCGTACCCGCATCATGTCAAGTCCCCTTCTTGCGACTGAAATTAAAAACAATTTATTAATTCGGAGAACTGTTTTGGGAAATAACAAATTTCAAAGGATCATATTTCAAGTGAAGGTACATCGTGAAAGTTGAATTAAAATGTTTTATTAAACAAATCATTACTTAAATAGTAATTATTTAATTTGATGAATTGTGTTCAATTCTTTATACAATGTGTTTTGTACCTCGTCTCGTGTCACGGATTGTGAAAATATCTTGAAAATTGAAGCATTTTGATATTTCAGTTATGACTTTATTTAAATTCCAAAATATTTCATTATTATTATTATTTTCACAGTTAATGACGCGAATACGATATCTCTCTTATACATGAAAATGCATCTTCTCATAACGTTTTATCAAAAAATACATTTTTTTTCTTATTAAAAATTGTTACTTCTCATTTGTTAGCACAAATTTTAAGTGACAACGTTATGCGAAGTAAATGTATTTAAAACATGACGTTTACATTTGTAATCTTTTCTTTTGTAATAGTAACTACGAATGTATTATATTTTCTTCAACTTTAAAATCTACTTTAACTAAAAAAATACTGTAAGGAAACAAAGTAGAAGAATAAGGCTAGATTCTCTTAGGTCAATGCGCTTTCAAGCCTCTCTCTCTGAAGACACATTATTGCGTCTTTCTTTAGATGCAATTCACTTACATATAATTTTACATAAAATGACTATTCAACTTAGATGGTGAATATATCGATAAACAATCTTTGTCCAATGCCCCAATACTTCATTGTACATACTTAGTTTACTCAAAGAGTACTCTTTTTATTATGTCATTACATAGCAAATTAATAATCTTTTTTCAGATTAGATCATGTTGGATAAAATAAAATTATATACGTTCAATTTTTATACAAACATTACCTTGACTCGACTATTTCTTTATGAAGATATTTTCTTGCATACACTAGAATCCCAATTTATCAAAATTTTATTTAGTATAATGGTAATATTTGTTTTGATTTTTGAACTGGATTGACTTCATTTGCATCAGAAAATAAATTTCAGTGTAGTAAATCGGGTGTCTAGTGCATTTGCACAGCAAAGTTCGATTATAGAAAATAATTTATTATTTTAGAGAAATCGTTTCTTCATTTGAAAAATCAAATTTTATTTTAAGACGGCTATTATGAAACCTTGTTTGAAAAGTGAAATTGCAATTCTATTCTTCAATTTTACATTTATTGAAACTATTCACTGTCAATCGACTTTGCTGTAATATATACATAAATGTAATATGCATAAATCTCGATTTTCAATGAAATGACACTCAATGTTTAAACCTTTTAAATGAAATAAATAAAATTTGAATATGAGTTCCCAAAATTATAAACAACTTCTCTATTTAACAGAGTGTAGTCGAGTCGAAAAACGCACTGATGACTCATTTGCCAAGTGAAAATATGTACATCCAACACATGTACAGAGACTATAGGAAGAAAATACTCACAGAACGTATAAGTTGCATACACATCATTTTCTTTAGTAATAATAATAATTCAACTGGCTATCCTACCGTATACTAAACTAATCCTTCAGTTTGCTCTGGAGTCCTGTCTCTAATTAATATTAATAATATACATTCGTTTGTTTTCTGGTATATGTACAAATGTGCGCTTTCCCCATGGAGCAGACAGCTATATATAGATATATACATGTATAAAAGAAATCATCCATTTCTATTTCACAATGTTTACGCAGCTTATTATTAAGTATAAGAACTAGACTTCATTGTTCAGAAAATAAATGTGAGATTTATAATCTCAAAGTTTTTTCCCCTCTGACTTGGTATTTTTTTGGCAAAATAAAATTTTACTCTTAAAAGTTCATTAAATATATTTATATAATAATTATAAAAATAATATAATTTAACAAAATATTTTCCATATTAATTGAAATTTATGGACCAAATAATATTTGTTTATGTGATAAAAACGATAATGCTACTAAAATTCTTTTATAATATATTATATTTTATGTAGAAAATAGATTCTAATTTATTTTAATTATAAGTTTTTCTTTTTAATTTTTCTTTACTTATTATTTGAAGCCGTATTTTAGGTTAGCTGATTTACAAATTAATTTAATTCTCTGCACTTTTGAGTTTAAGTCCACACAATTCTAAATATATTTTTGGAACATTTCCTAAAGTTTCAGTATATTGAAAGTTTAATACAGCCAAAGAAATTTTTTAGTCGAACCAAATTACTTTAATTCTTCTTGTGAAAAACTATTTTCTTTACTCTCAAAAAGTGTTACTCTCTAAATTTGAATTAGCTAAAATTTCACTGTTTGAATCAGCAAATAAAGTTTTCACTGCAAATCAGCGGATACAGCTAATAAAATAGCGAAACACGAATCGGCGAACGTCGGTCATTTTCGTCGGAAGATAAATTTATTTTTAAAATGGAGTATTCCGCTGATTGAAATAGTTGTTAGTCGCTGATTCGCAGCTGCATACTTATAGCTTTTTCAATCAGCGACTATTCGCTGCCAATCAGCGGATTTTAGCTGATTCAAATTTAGAGAGTAGTAATTATTGAAAAATACTGAAATGTTTCCAAGCACTGACTATGGGATCTAGCTAATCTTATATAGTGTTGTCAAAAAATTAAACCTTCTAAATAGGCATTACCAATCGATAGAATCTGATTGAAACTGATAGCAATTTATTTGAGAAACATAATTAAATCCATAACTGAATAACTCAAAAATCCAAAGTTGATTTGAAAATGGGTCAATTAGTTTTAATTGGTTTCTATCGATTTTTTTAGAAGGATAGCTTTATTAGTTACACAAGTCACAGGAACTAAAACCTCGATTGTAGGCGTTACTTCATTCTTGCGTCTTTTACTAAATCCTGCGTTTAAACCACTTTTGATAATTACACTTCTTTTCTTAAATTGTCCTAACAATTCTATTTCTGTCTCACAAATACCACTTTTTTCAAGACTCGACGTAAAAATGATGTAAAAACATTGTCACACAAGCCCTGCAGCATGAAATCGAGAGTTAGAAAAGGAAGTAAAAAGTATGACATTACTTAATTGATCAGTCGGAATCTTGCACGGAATAAATACCTTTGGTTACCTTGAAACTTCCTTAAACAATTGCATTTATGAATTTTGTTCATTCGATCACACATAGGTCCACCTCAGAGTTTTAATTTGGTCCCACTGTACCGGATGCTTGAGTCTCATGTGATTGCGGACACTGTTTGGATGGGAGAAGGTTTTAGCGCAGGATGTAACTGGACAAGTGGGAGAATCTCTGGGATAGTGGTGTTCTAAATGAGCTCGCATGGTACCAATGTCGTGTAAAGTTCTAGAGCAAAGGGGACAACGATATCCGTGCTGACGATGGTGTTCCCTCAGCATCCTCTGCTGCCGATAGTCGGGCGGTTGAGCTCTCTGCAACTTGACTTGATTGTGATCGTCCAGTTCGTCACTTGGCTGGAGATGAGAAGGAGTCTCAAGGTGATGTTGATGCTGACGTTGCTGGTGATGGCTGTGGGGGTGGTGGTGGTAAGCCATGCCATCCGCATCATTGAGCCCGTCATCTGCAACCACCACCACACCAACGTTACCACTAGCCACCACCGCCATAATTTCACGACATATACATTTATATACACAATTACACTCGCAGCTAACAATAAATTCGATTACTAGTTCTTTCAAGAATACCAACAACAACAACAATGATAAAATAAATGTATATGTAAAATAGAACAAGAGGTGAAAATGTTGCAGATGACTTATGTGACGGTTAAAGGATAATTATTGTCGAAAGCGATTCGAAGCGAGGTGGAGGAGATATTTCTTTTTGAAAGTGGTCCCTGAGACAGAAATAAAATGAAAGAAAGGACTCACATTGACCGCACTTTTAGTGCGACTGATACTTATGCGGAATTTGAGATCGCTATTCATGGTAGGGAAGATTGGTGTTGCTGACTGGGATTATGGATATTTGGACGTTGGTGAATTCCATGGGCCTGAAGTTGATGATTGATCAAGTAATGTTTCGTCTTGCAGCGTTTGCCGCAAACGTGACACTGGGGCCAAGTATCGGGAGGTGGCCAATTAGAATGAACATTTTTGACGTGTTGTCGCAGGTTGCTGGGTGACGAATAACTCCTACCGCAATACCGACATAAAGGTCGCGCATCCTCGTGCCTCAGAGCGGTGTAGAGCCTCGCAAAATTTTCCACTACTTGTGTGGAATCGGAGTCGATAGTTCCCGCAGCCACTGCGGCTTCTTCCCTCTTTGGCACCACAGATCCTACAACCAGGACGTGCCCATGAGTTCATTCTGTTCCTAACTTCGCACATTTTTTCTCCCATGTTCTTCTCTTTCACATCCAACCACTCAAACAACATTTTCTCTTTTTTATTATATGCAACATTCTTACTCAATTTTTCTTATCTTTCATGCATTCTTTTTTCTGCCAGCAATAGCAAAGTCTTGTTCATTTACAGTCATTTAAGAGCAATCTGATATCACACACACAAGCTACTCTCGTACTCTCAGGGCATGCCCAGTTGCAGGATAGTGTGTGGTTTTCCTGATAAAATGTTTATTGACAAAAAGATGACAACTCGCATTTTTCTGAGTGCAAACTCGCCAAGAACGTATTAGGGGCAGACCTTCTCAAAAATAAATTTCAAATCAAAAAATTCTCGTTTTTATCATTTAAATAATCAAAAGCCGCAACTTCAATGATAGACACTTGAAAATAAACCTGTAAATCTTGACTTTAATATAACATTTAATAACTAGAAAATCGGAAAGATGAAATGAAATTCAAGTAGATGAACGACTAAAAAAAGATGAGGAAAAAAGGAGAGTAATATAAGGGAACTATATACGTAGAACACGCTTGTATTGATCCATTCCGAACCGACTCGTTGCGACTATCTTTTCTACGAATCTCAAAGTGAAGACCTCACCCATTTCCGTCATAGAACTGAGTCTAAGAAAAGAATGAGAATAGAAAAACGGATGAAATATTATTAACGGTAGTTTTCAAATATTGCAATGGCAAAAATGTCAGATAAATAATTACCAAGTTTAATGAGAAATAATATTAAACTTTTTTTGAAAATAGTATAGAAAAAAATTGTAATATTAAATTTGGCTCTATTCTCCATGCAGTTGTCCGTATAGGTATATAAAAGTCGTTGATAAAAGTAGAAAGAAATTTTTCTAAACAGTCAGAAAAGCTTAAGGGAAAATTGAATTCAGTGGTCTGCGCAGAGTCAGTATGATTAGACAATTCCATTATAGGAACAATGCTCGAATATATTTTACTCCTATTCTAATAGACTCGTTTCTCAAACGATGAAACTAACGATAAAACATATTTAATTACAACTTACAAACACAAAATAAATTATTATCACAATAAATAAAAAAAAATCGTTACGAAAAATAACACATAACCCCGTCAAAAGCAGAATGAAATTCCACTTCCTATTTGGAATTAATTTTCACTAGAGAAGAACTCACTTCAAGGTTCTAAAGAATTCCGAAATGCTTTTAATATGTCATTGTAAAAATCGGTTGTAAATTTAGTATATTTATCAGCACATATATGTTTATAAATATGTGATTCTAAGTCGTGTATACCACACATTTAATTGTAACAAACATTTACATTGTTAGAAATTGTACTATAATTTTACACGAGTAACATTAAAATTAGTTTCAATCTTTCTGGTGTGAAGTTGTAGTCCAATTTCTAACAGTAGATAAGAATTCAACAATAATTATGGATATAAATTTTTTCACGATTTTCAATTTTACACTAAATTTACAGATTATTCCAACAATATGCATTTCTGCCCTAAAACGGAAAAACATACGTTTTAATTTTAATTCCATTGTAGGGCAAATTTTGACAACATTATTTTCAAATTAATAAACAAAAAAATTAACAGTAAAAACAAAGTCTCAATTTACAACTTTTTATCCTACACATAAGACACTGCTTTTGTGCTTTTATTCAGATGGACTATACATTAAGTATTCAATTCCCCTTGACATAACCTCAAACTAAAAATTGGTTTTATCACCAAATAAAACTAATGAAAATTAATTTTACCAAATTTTAAATAAGATCCAGTTGTATAATTTTCAAAAAAAAGTTATTTTACCCAAAACTTTTGAACAAAAAAATTGTTAATAAAATTCAACAAACAAAATTGTAGAGAATTTTTCAAAGAGCAAAATGAGCTATATTGGATAAAAGTTTAAATAATTAACTTTAAATAGTTATTATTTAATAAAGAGTATGGTTATTATTTTTTTTAAATTGTATAATTCATTCAAAATTTGATAAAATCAATTTTAATTATAGTTTTATTTGTTGTTGAAAACAACTTTTTAGTTTGAGGTTATATCAATGGGTTGAAGCTTCTTAAAGTAAGAATTTGTTTTTCTGTATATAAAGTAAAAGAAAGTATGGATTACATATAGTATTTACCACAATAATTATTTTTGTTTCAACAAAGTCAGCTTTTTTTAAAATGAATTCGTCACAGAATTCTATATAGATTTGATCTAAGTCAGAGAAAATTATTGACAAATTCACCGTTAGGCTTTAACTAGGCTGAATTCTAGTGTATCTTTATGGCAGCTGGAATTTTTTTTAAATTGTGTAGAACTGACACAAAAAGTAAATAAAATTTTGCCGAATTGAGGCTAATAGTCTCATCCATGCTGAGATTTAGCACAATGGGAAGATTTCTAGACTATCATGCATTACATATCAGAACTCTTAAATGCATTCTAAAGTTATATAGTTTTCACAAAAAATCTAATGCGAAAAGGGTATATCGCTGATAATCCATGTAAAAAAGGAAGAGTCTGGGAAAATTTCTTGTCCCTTGAAATTGAAGGTCCGTGTTAGTTTCCGCTTTCATCTGAAGCTTTTTACTGGGCTTAGTGCGTCCGAGGAAATCAAAAGTGGTGGTTTGAAGAGTAAGTGTGGGCGTTGGTAGGCACCGGGGCAAGTGAGGGCAGATCAATGCGGACATGTGCGGGAAATTGCACAGGGATCGATTTTAGGACCCTCGCGAAAGCATCATCCCTCCTTCTCTTATCATCTCTTTCTACCGCGCGTGCTCCTCCTATCTCTCAAATTCTATTTACTCACTCTCACTAACGCACATTCCCAATAATGTTATATCACACCCTTTTTCTTCTTTTCACGGCAATGCAATTCAAGTTTCATATTTATACATATATATTTCTTTATTTATATACCATTGACCACTAATATTGATGTCAGCTCATTTTAGGCCTAGTCTACAATTTCGCATTAAATATACAAACTTATTACATTTAATCAGTAAAATGCACGTTATTATAAAAACATATATACAGTGTGCATTATAAGTACTGTATCACAAAAATAATCATATTTATAACTTTTTTTCTCTTGTACTCAAGAATACAATTTTCGTCTTTAAGAAAGCAATATAATTCTTGGAATTATTATAAATTAATAAGGATAATCTGGAGGATAAATTTTCTTTAAGTTTAGTGCAACGAAAATCAGAGAAGAATCACAATTAACTTTAGTTTCTGTAAAACGAAGGATCATGAAAGTGTTCCTTTCTCTCCCTCTTTTTTTCCAACGGATTCACGAGGGTTGAAGTAAAGAAGGGATCGGAAGACATTAAAAATATACAAACCTAAAGCGAGATTTGATTGTATACGAGATAAGATGAATGATAACAAAAGCAGACGGCTTAACCGTGACATATTGCATTCGCCTTTGAATTATCAAACTTATCCTCAATTTTAGTTTTGTAATTTTTCCTCTTAGATTTTTTCTATACAAATGATATGTGTATATTACAATTGTAATTTTTGGATCACAACGAATATTTTATTTGAAAATAAAAGAAATTTTGCATAAAAATAATTTCTAGCCATTATTTAAATTAATTTAATTTAGATAAATAAAAATATTAATTGTGCGTGAAGAAATTAGGATTAGTTCCTTTCGATTTCACCAATTATAGTAGATATCTGACAACGCATCATCAATTTTCTGCCGTTTCGTCTACTTTTTTTCTAATGGCTCACCTAATATGTTCAACATTTATTGCGAGTATGTCAGCGCAGCGGTGGCCAGTATTGGATATAACTACAATATAAAAGCAATTTTATATACTTGGAGAGTTTAAGACGACTGATAACTGACTAGAAGTATACCAAAGAATAAAAAATCGAATCCAAAAATAATTTAAACGATAGATGATTCTATTCTATTCTATTCTAGAAATTGAAAAATCAGGAAATGAAATATTTAAGAAATGTTGCACTGTTGCAACTTTAAATAATAACGAGAACATTATAAAAATATATTTAGACAAAAACTGTTGTTTCTATATTTACTCATTTTCTTCGTTTACAGAAGAGAAATATATGATTTTGATAGGAGTGCTAACAAATGGAAACCTCCACTACTTTGGCTTAGCTCGAGTCAACTCGATTCAACTCGAGGGGGTGGCAGGCAGAGCTGGAAAAGATTCGTGGAAACACCGCAGAATTGGATAAGCTGCAGACAGGGCTTGTTTCTCAGTGGTTCTCATTATTTAAAACTTTTTCTCTTACTATTATGAATTATGTGAAAAGAATTAAATTGAGCAACAATTTTAAAGGAATTTACATATTCAAGTGTAAAAATTGGTTTAATAATTTATAAATAATCGATTTTTTCTGCAATCACTTGTTCCAATAAATGACTCAATTCAGTATGAGAACTCACTAAAACAGTAGAAGAGTCCAATTTTTTTGTATGGCATAGCTGTTTATAGTTAATACCAAGAAACAAATTATAATAGTATATGGAGATTAAAACGAATCTTGATCTACACAATCCCATCAATCTATCAGTTGAAGAATCACGGGATGAATTTGCTCTTTCTCCTTCCAATATCAAACACACGAAGAATAGAAGAAAAAGTGTAGAGAGAGGGTGTCTCACAAAAGGGACAGAAGGCGAACAAAATGGAATGAAGAAAAAGAAGGAGGGAGATAGAGTTAGGAAAAGAGAGGGAGGTACTAGGCGTTGTTTGTTGAATCGTCGAGATCAATACGAAGTATAGTATTCTCCTATAATTTCAACAGATGCGTATGAGTGAAATTTTGTACATATATAGATATATATATGAGATCACATATATTCGCTGTATGTATATTGCGCGAGACTCATTGAGTAAAAAAAGTCATGTTAAAAAATACTAAAAGTTTCTGTTAATGAATCTACTTAAAGTAGGCGACGCTTAAACGTCTTAGCAACTTATATTTGGAAATGTCAAAGTCAAAAATAGATCGACCGGTCCTATATAAGAATCTAATATTCTTTCAAGTTTGTATAAAAATTATCTGTAGTCGTAAACAGTAATAATACACAAAAATATCGAAGGAGAAAATCGTTTCGATAATGCACATAGCAATCATAAAATATAAAAGTGATTTTATTATCATGGTTTATCGTCGGACCATCTTTCACCCGCTTCTGACAGGAAGGATTGCTGTTGCTGCTGTGGCGATTGCTGAGGTGTAATCACTTGGGAAATGGAAGTTTGATGCATTTGATAAACGGGATAGCTTTTTCTTTTCCTAATGCCGTGCATAGACAAGAGATGAATTTGAAGATATTGCTTCGTTTTAAATTGCTTGCTGCATATGTGACAGGATATAAATTGTGTTTGGACAGTGTGCACGTTGACAATGTGTTGCTTGAGGTTTGAATTGTTGGAGTAAATCTTGCCACACTCGGGACATTTTGGTTTTCCAGTTTGATTGTTAGGGTCCAATTGATGCTGTTGGTATGGATTGATGATTGTTATTCCCTCCATCTTTTTTTTAGAGCACGACTGCAGCATTGCATTGAGTTGATCGTTCTTGGTCGATCCGTGATGCTGTTGCTGCTGCTGCTGCTGGATACTCTGCAACTTTTGCTGCATCAAGGAAAGCTGCTCGTTATTCAAACTGTTCAGAGAGTTGAGAGCAGCGTGCTGTTGCGATTGTTGGCTATTGGCATGGTGGTGCTGATGCTGATGCTGCATGAGGTCCTTCTTTGAGTTGGCGTCTCCAATTTGAAGAGCTCCCAATCCATCCGGTTCGCTCCTGGAGGAGGAAGTGCCCTGCAGCCAACCAGAACTCGAGCCTGAACCGTCTCCTCCAGAGGGCTGCCATCGCCCTGGAACCACCAGCCAATTTTTCAGTCCTCAGCCAATCTCGTACGATCCCTTAAACACTAATCGTCTCTCTCTCCTCCCACAGCCCTTCTTACGGTCTATTTTTAAATTTTATTTTCTAACAACGAGTTACTTTCTTTAACGTTTTCGTTACTATCGAATCCCACCCCGCGAGTTCATTTATCTTTTGAGTTTTTCTCAATAAATGATTTCACCACCATGCCACGTTTCATCTTTTACCAAAATTTCTCCGATAAATCGAAATTACAAAATTTCCATTTGCATTTCAAATTTTAAGATATACATTTATCCGGTCAATTTTCACATATACGAATAATTTCAATTTATGTTCTAAAAATAATAATGCTTTTTATGTTATGTCTCCTCCACCTTTGGTCTCTGTTGTATTGAAAGACACAAAGTAATTTTATCCCATTATAATAATCAAGAATAATTCAGAAAAACTTTAAACTTGTCTCTATAGTCCGTATTTTCTTTATTGACAAAGAAAAAAAAATAATTAGTAACTCACCGTGTTTAGGAAAGGAAATACAGGGTTGTGAGAGGTACGAGAGTTCCATGCATTCAACGCAACAACGAGAGACCAGAGTTCTAAGGAACGTCAGGAGGATACTAATTTGGACTATGATCATTAGGTGAAAAATAATTTAATATCACCTACTCACCATAATTTGGATCCTGATTTGCTGCATGAATTCCTGACGGTCCTGGCATCAAACCTGGAAATAATTAATATTGCTTATCAACATTTTTCAATTTTTTATTTATTTTTATTTTATTTATATTTTTTAAATATCTCAACACCATTAATTAAAGAAATCAGCACTGTAAGATCATTATGACTATTTTCAATTATACACACCTTGAAGTCCCAACAATGCAGCTGGAAAACTATTACGATGATGTTCCAAGGAGTCATTGAGAATATCACTGGGCTCTGTCTTGACTGAATTTAAAATACTGTCATTATTCGACGTATCCTCTTCATTGTCTGTCATAGAATTCGAATCCTCACCAGTAGATTGCGCCTGAAATTAATCGTCACAAACTTATTTGACAAATCTTTCAATTAAATAAATTTAGATTATACAAGGATAAATTATATTTCATATTTTCTAAAATTTTCATCAAACTTTAAGCACGAATATTACTAATGTCAATAAATTATCCTGCAGGAATATTCCAATGTTATATATTAAGACAATATTTTCTCCACATTTTTAAAGTTTTATATATTAGATAGTAGATATTCGCAATATCTACTGCAATATTCCTGCAATACAGTTATTGACATTTATTCACGAACCGTGCCAAGAAATTGTGGGTGGACGGTTAAATATTTATCAAGTTAATAGTAACAGTTTTAAATATGGTTAAATATTTTTTATATAAAAAGAATGATATATAATTTTCTTTGTTACTATTCGATTGGACAAATTTTGAAGATAAGACATTTTACATTTATAGATTTTTTATAATCTATTTCTAAAATATTAAAATTAGAAAACTTTCTACAATAGATAAAATAATTATTTATTTTTATCAAATAACTTATATACAGAAATTACTGGTAGGAATGAAGTTTATTTGTTTTAAACAATTATTTTTTTTTGTTATAAAAATAAAAAAAATTGTTTTCTTCCCTCACAGAACGAGATATTTCCAGGTGGAATATTCGGGTGCTTTAAGGGTTATAAAATAAAATTAAGATTCAGACAGAACCTTCCCTGAATAAAATCAGTTGAAAAATTACTTTGAATGTGAAGAAAATATCAAGTTAATTACCTGTAAATTGTTGGTAGGTGTTGTATGTATCGTTGGACCGCCTTCGAGTGCTTGTCCTAAAAGAGACTCTTGAAGATCTGTCTTTGGTTCTATGTGATTTCCTAATGGAGGAGAATAACTTCTCGGTCTTTTTTCCGGTGGTGAACCAATGCCACTTTCGTTAGCATCCCCTCGACCACTATCTTGCCATGAATTTCGAGGTGTGTTCTGAAATAATCATTATTTTCAAATCTGAATAATAGAATATCTTAGACATTTTTATTTAAATATCCTTTTGAAATATCAACTTTTAATTAAATTTCATATATCAACGACTTTGTAAAAAAGTTTAATATGGACAATATGTTTGATTTGACTTACTGGTGCGCTCCCGTTGTTTCCGGTTGATGAGGGTGCTTGTGGGATTTTTGCAGCAGCGCCACTACTGACATCGGCCAATCCTCTAACTTGGAGCATTTGAGCCGTTTTCAAAAATGCAGCTAGCTGCTCCTGTCCTACATGAACTTCTCCATGATACATAAATCGTAACAAGGATTCCATGTCGGAAGAAGCAACGTCCCTCAAAATGACAATTGGATGTTGACATGGATTTGCCTAAAATCATGTGAAAGAGATACCAAATTTATTTTTTATATAAATAGTTGATTTTTTTCTTTTTGTAAAAAACGGTAAAAAATGTAATAGAATGTTATGATAAGGGATATTTTGCGGACATTCTAAGCAATGTAATTGACGAATTGTAAATATTTTGCAGGAGAAAAAAATGTGTATAAATGTAGGTTTCTAATCTTAATAGTCTTGAAGCAATGAGAACCTTTAAGATTAATTGAATAAGATTTTTTTGTAAAAAATGGAGGTTTGAACTATTCTATATTAAACACACGTCGAATCGTTGAGAGTCAGTCATGCATACTTATATGTCGTGAGGATATGCATGTGAAGCTCCCTAACTAAAGGTAAGTAGAAAAGTAGATACAATTGCATGGTTTCTGATCCATTTACGTGTCGAGCGCGAGCAGTCATGGCTTCGCAAAACATATAGTGATTATACACATCAATATGCAAAAAACGATTATGAGCATTGTCTCAATATTGGAAAGTATTTCTTTGAAAAATAAACTATTCGGTTAAATAATATGTGGATTTGGGAAACATCCGACAATCGGAGCCGTGTAAAAATATAATCTAGGAGACATTTATGTGCGACTCGTGCATTGCTTTTCCAGACAGTAGTTACAGGAATGCGCAACCGGCAACGACGCACTTCCGTTGATAAAAATACACACGGTATAATGTATCTCAGTACTCGACGCGACACCAACACTCGAAACGCACTTGCATGTATTGTACATAAACGCGTGTGCAACGCAATAATATCACATTCATTTAATATGCTACATATGCGTCTACTACACATGTACATCAACTTTCAATCTCGCGTGTCTGTAGGTACTTGGTAAAGCTTAAGTGCAGTATTAAATATATAAAGCAAACACACGACATTTTTTGCCTCTCTTTTCATTATTAAGGAATGCTAAAATCTTGTCTAACTGGTCAAATTATTCTAATGCAGGATGCATTCTCTTTATTCAATACATGTCTAAGTTAAAAATACATTTCACAGCTGCATGTATTTAATAAAATAAGATAGTTTTAGAATTCAGTAGGCAGGAAAAAATAATACTTGAAGCTTTTCACTATTTATATATATATAGGTTATGCCTACGATAGCTTTACCATCATTAAAAGTTTCTTTTTAATTAAGTAAAATAAAAATTAGTTTTTATTTAATATTTTTTATGTAATGAAGATTGGTTTCTTGATTCTCTTTGTATATTTTCGCTCTAAACTTTTAAAACATAACCTATCCTGTTTTGCTTCTTAGATCCCTTTCTTCAGAGCACGTCGCATATAAATATATGTGACATATCTAATTTTGATGAAACTTGTTGCTAATTAAATTCACAATCTAACTGTATGTCTTAAAATCCAATTTTTCATTTTTTAAATTTTTACCCAAAATTTCAGCTCAATGTATTGAGTATTTTATACGAAAAATTAACATTGCAAGGATTACGTGACCTGATATTACTTTAATTTTCTAAAAAAATGTCAATAGAATTAGATTGGTTTAATTTGGAAGAAATTTTCCTTACTGCGCCCGGACATCCTATCGGACTTAGTGGTATCCATCGGTTTAGATATCCCACAAATATCATATCATTTATTTGAGCTCTTTAATTAAAAAAATAATTATTATTATTACTAGGCATGTAAACTGCATACACATCCTCAGTGACTATTTTTAAATCAAGTCGTATTCTGGCACTCGACATGCAGCCTACATATGTGGAGTTAATTACATTTCGTGCAATCACCGATAAACCTTAGCATATACCTATATACGTGCCTACACGATTTTGTACAACTACTATACTCTCTAATTTTTCGTTATAGAACTTTTCAGAAAACATCGTTTTAGCCATCGTTCGTACGAACGTTCATACGTAGGCGTATTGGGATTTGAATGGTGCTAAATAAATGGGGACTTGAAGAAGAAGAAGAAGAAGAAGTCTTCTCCCCTCTTTTTTCAATCGCCCTTCCTTCGCTATCCAAGAACTCTTATTCGTTTTTATTTTTCATGACATCTACTTCTCATCAAATTTCTTCATCTCCTTCGTCTTTCTTTAACCCCCCACCACGAAATTCGTCATTGGGTAGTTGAAATCTTGAATTACATCGTTACATATATAGCAATGTCTTGAGTCAACTATAATGATACTGTCTCCCACTCTTTTTAAACTAAACTGGCAACTCAATGATCTCGTGTAAGCTACATACACATACACATACGAGACGTTTTATTGGTTGTTACTTGGGTTTTACCATTTACATTAAAAATGGACGTCTTGAGTAATTGTGTATTTTATTTAATGATGAATCATCGAGTACCACAACTAAACGCCGGTCCAATTTAAAATATTCATTTTTTGTACTAACTAATCTATGTACGAATGATCAGAGACGAAAAATATTAGAATTTTCTTTTTGACTCCCTGATGCTTTGAATTGAATTTAAAATTCTGTCAATTTTAGTGATTTATGCTAATCATAACTTGGTCACTAGTATAGGAAATGAGTAAAATTGTTGACTGAAATTTCGGGAAAAGTGTGTCACGCTGAATGTAGCATTTATTTTGTAAAGCATTTGTTTGTAAAGTGAGATTGAAATTCATATCGCGACCTCTCGTTAGATGATGGTGGAAAATACGCAGGCACACGTGTAACTAGTGGGCGAATCAACCCACGCGCCATGTTGTACATACTCTAGGAAAAGTGTGGAAAATAAAAAATGAAATCTGTTTGAATACAATGATATGTTCCTTTATAAACAAGCTTTAGTCTACATATGTATTGCTCCATATTCTATAATTAAAGTCGGAGTGCGTATTTTATGGGGACACGTGCGCCAGTTTGAACCGTGTTTCTAGGTGTACTCGCTCCATGGTACAGACGCGAGAAACTCTTCTCGCTATTGGTGAGCCACTGTTTTTAAATTTATCCCAATGATCACGTCATATACGTGGACACGAAAGCATGAGTGCGTGAGTATCTGGAAATACACACGACGAGATCTCGTTTGTTTCCGGCTTTGAAGAACAGCGCGGCTGTAATAAAACTTTCTTGGAGGGGAGAAAGACACGTGCAATCGATGGATACTTAAACCTCTTAAAAATATTCCCTCCCTCTTCGTACCAAGAGCAAAATAATAATAAAAAATGTGGAATGCACATTAGTTAAAATATTCTCGAAAATAAAGGACACTGGAAGTTCGATCGGTGTTGAGCGTATGTTTACATTTATTAGTTGGGAGACACCCCCGACCTTGCTCACCGATCGACTTTCCGCATCATCATCTTTTTCTCTAAAATTCTATTTTTTAGCTGATGCAAAGAAAACGCTTTTTCATCTCATTAAAATAGTGTGAAATCTATTGGGGAGAATATTTAATCTCTAAAATTAAAATTAGAAAAAACTGTGTTATAAAAGTATGCTGTCTTACCTTAAGTAATCTACGAAAGTACGGACTGCAGGCTGAGAGAACAACCTTGTGCGCCGAGAAACTACTGCTATCGCATGCTAAGGTGACATCGACAAAATCTTCTTCGTCTCGTAAATGCCGAAATGAGCTAAGAATGCTCGAGTGAAAGTCGTTCCATCGCAGGGAGTATTGTTGTTCGCCACTCGACGAGGACGAGGAGGCCGCCATGGCGTCCGTCCCCCCGGGACCCACGGCCAAGGGCACCAGCGGTGCTATCGTGCTCAGTCTGATTCACCTTAAACCCACTTTTACCCCTTTTCAATCAATTTATCTGATTCTATTCTAAGATATCTAATTTTATTTTACACTTTTCCTTTCGGGTTGAATAACAAAAATTTTTAACTACAATTTCACCTAACTTATAAATTTCCTCAAATTATCAATTAGAAATTCAAACTTATTTTGAACAATAAAATTTTTTTATAAACTTTTAAAATATCCTAATTTCAAAAATTTTGAATTTTATTCTTCTGATATTAACACCATTACTTGATGTTACAAAAAATGATATGAATAATGGCGTCGATCGTTTCTGAAAAAGAGAAAAATTCTAGTGAATTAAATGTGAAAATAGTTTAACAGCAGTTATTTAATTTTTAGCCAAATTATCATAATTTAAACAATTTAAAAGTATCTCTTCATGCATTATTACTTAAATAACAAAAGATTTTCACTTTTATCAACAATAAATAATATAAAAAAGTGACTATTTAGTTACCTAATCAGTAGCCAGATTGATCAACAGTAAAAAAAAAATCTTTTTTAACTCGTCATATAAATATCACTCAAATTTCCTCCGACTAACCAAAATTTTGGTGCGTACTGTTTTTCCATTATGAAAGTAATGACACCATTCCAGTTGGCAGTGACAAAATTTTGGACAAATAAAACTTATTTTTTCCAAACTATTACTCTTCATTTACCAAATGTTGACGAATCCAATATAAATTTTTTTCAATTATTTTCTTTCTTAGCATTCTTTTCTCTTCTTTGGCACTTACTACCTCAACAAATATCCTTTCCTTCGTTGCATTCTTTTCTTCCCTTCCGCTCCTTCATTTATATCTTCCCCTCTCTGCAAGACACAAAATCGAAATTATTGTTAAAATCAATTAAAAAAAAAAAAAAAAACAGGTGACCAAAATTCGAACGTAGTGTCTTCAATATAGAACGAAATTGACGCGATTTTTTGTAAGGAAAATATTAATCTGTGTCACGAGACCATGCGTAGATTTTTTAAAATTTCATCTGCATAAACATTAAAAGAATCAATAAGAATAATTGTTATCCAGTATGACACTTACTTAATAAAAATACACTGAAAACATTGATATTTGGAGATATATTGTAGAATTTTGCAACATTCTATAAAATTTCTGAATGTTACTTACATTTTTTAACTGAAATCTATTTTTTCGTAAATTACCAAAATTAACATCTAGTTTAAGGTTATGTAACTGTTAGGTCTGTAATGTTAAATTGTCCGCAACTTTTCTCGTAAAATACTGAATGGATTAAGTTGAAATTTTATGGAAGAGTTCCAAATATGATAAGGAATGGATGTCAAGTGCGAAAATGTTGATATATTGTTAAATAATTATTATAAAATACTTGAAAATAGTTAAAAAAAAAATGAGAGGTTAGGAGTGTCAGATTTCCCAACAATTTTTCTGCCATTTATTATATTTATTTAAGAATATATTAACATTTTTAACGTAAATTAAAACTTAAAGTTTGGGTAACTAATATTTATAGAGTAAGGATTTTCCCTTCCGGAATGTTTAATAAAAAGTTGGGAAAAATTCGATCCTTGGAAGGAATAAAATAACATAAAAAATGTATGTTATTAATGTTGTTTATATTCGATCGAATAAATCAATAATCAATTGCTACTTTATACAAAAACTATTAATAATTAGGGAATTAATAATTAAATCAACAATTACTACCCTAATTATGTTTTGTATAGGCAAAACTATTTTAGTTTCTATTTTTCTTTATAAAAACTTATTTATAGTAAGTCAATAGAACATTTCTGTGCATAATTAACGTGACATAATTCCAACGAGTTTTCACATTAAACACAAATCTGGATTCAAAATCTACTTATCATGTTAGGATTATAAAAAAGATGGGTTGGAGTTTGACATTTAGAGCGTAGGCAAGATGTTTTTTTTTAAATTGATATTTTTGAAAAATACATACATAAAATGTAGATGGTGTGTAAGACATTTGAAGAATAGAGTCTACATTTTCGCTAGAGCAATCCGCCCGGAGGAAGAACCCCCGAATTCCGTATCGATCGTCGAACCTATACACGACATTTAGTGTGTGTTACGTGATAGTATACGTACGTACGTATGTACTTGCCCGTACCTAGGTACAACTCACAATCAGTATAACGTACCCGGAATAGATTGGGACGAGTCAAGATTGGGGTCGCCATTGGAATGCTGCGAATTCTAGGTGTGGCTCAATGTTTTGCCCCCTTACTCTTCAGTCTTCTGTATATCAGGGGTGCCTCTTTTAATCTCAAAATCCGACAGGTTAAAGTCTACTTAATTCTGAATTGCTTCTTTATGCATTAAATAATGACCAATTCGATCGTCTTGATCATCACCATACTCACTAAAGTCTCTCATCTCTCTCTCTCCCGCATATATGTATGTCAGCAAATAATTACCTCGCTCGATGAAAGGCACCTTGTGATCAAAAAGTCAAAACAACATTCATTTAACTAATGTACATTTTTCATCGTACCTAAAATCTTTTATGCGAATCGATAGTGTAGATTAGCATATTTATAAATAGCAGTTTTACGACTAAAGTAGTTTCACGTATTTTGAGGAAATATAAAGTTGACATTATAAAGTCGTATATTAAATTTTAATTATTTTATTGTAAATAATCATCAACTAAAGAATTGATGATTCGGAAAATTATAAAATTTTATTTAAAAGAAATTCTCATTATTTGAGTGAAATACATAATATATGTTTTGAATACTGGACAAGCTGCACACAACAGGAAGTAAAAACGAAAGTTATCCAAGTGAACACATATTTTTTTACGAGAAATACGTACGCTTCGAATTACTTAAAAACCGAGACTAATGGAATTAGGGGAACTTCAGCCATCGAGAATATACTGAATCGTCTATGGGTAAAGAGAAGAGCATAAGGAGGCAAGAGCAAGAGAGATTTGTATTATGTCGACTAGAGTTAATACGTTCTAAGAATTGTCGCAGACTACTTGCAGGGATGTCTACTCTGAGATTTGAAATTTCTGACAAAGCCAAAGTGATGTTAATGGAAGTAGCACATATTGCATTTGCACCCAAAAATAAATGCCTCTTCCTGGCCCCTTTCTAAAAGGAACCTCGTCCCTTGAGCTTAGAAAAGGAACATCCGCGCCCTGCAACTATGGCGAGTCCTTGAGTGCACATGCGGTGTACATGCTGTGATCACGCATGCGTACATTCATGTTCAATGCAAACTAATTGTAAGCATTTTTACTCTCAAATTTATAAATGAAAATTTTACGAATCATAGCAAATTTTTTGGTCATTCCAGAATTTTGTTTCAATGTAGGAGTGAATATTAAAATAAAGGCATATGATTGATAAATGTCAACATTTATAACCCTGAGAAAGTGAGTATGAATGAATTTGCACATTTTTTCCGTTAGTCAAACGAATGAGAATAGATGCTGAATAAGAAGAAATACGTTTGCATGTACCCAAATTCGCTACATCAGGTATGCACTGACTGTGCTGTACCGTTCGGCTACATACATAAGTAGAGGACTAGAAGTATACCTGGAAGTGCAAAGGAGGCGAATTTCGGCACTAAATGTATTTAGTACGCAATTGCCATCCAGACAGCTGGATTCGTTTTTTTTACTGTGTATACTAAGAGACCCAACACAACATCTACAATAACTGAATGTATGCGTATGTACATCTGCAACTCCAATACAAATTCACATCAGGTATAAGAAGTAAGACCGAATCTTTATTCAGTCTGCAATGCTATATGTATTTATACAAACAGTTATTATCCTCCAATTATTATTTTTCATTGCAAGTCAAAATCAACTTGACAACTTATTCATAAACCTTTTATGACAAATAAATTTATTTCACTTTTTAAAAGTATTAAAAAAATGCTAAAAATATTTTCATTTTTTAACTTGTTAAAGGACTTTCAAGGGATACAACTTTCTATTACACAATAATAATTAAAAATTCTGTGTAATATTTACATTCGCTGACCGATAAGAAAATAGGAAAATACTGTTTCAGGTCAGATTGTTTTAACTTTGTATATTGCAAATTTAGATAAATAATAAATGTTTGTTTTGGTCCGTTTAACACGCAATTATTTTCAGGCTATAACCGATAAGGAAGGTACCAACCGATAAGAGTGATCTTTATTTATCTTTTCTTAACAGTAGTAAGATATCTCCATCAATTACAAGATAATAGAAAGTCTTAAGTGACTTGCATTTAATATTATCCTGAGCTTTGTAGATACTTTATTTGAAAATATGAAATTTGAGAAAAACTGAAAGTTTCTTGCATTAGGCTAACTACATTTTCCCTTTTCTTCTTTAAACTCTACACACCTACATTACCCAGAAATCCTTTGTAAATATTTTCTTTTGACCCTTACAAATGAATGGTATACTATGCCTACATCTTAGTATGTACAATTATATATTTTTCTGCTCTAAGTATTTATACAAAGTTCAAAATATATATATATATATATTCAATATTTTATTATACTTGTTTATATCATTAAATCTGATTTAATAACAATTTTTTATTCACATTTGCTATAAGATTTGACATTAATTTATTTAAATGGCGAAATGCAAAGAATACAACTCACGAAACTATTTTCATTACATCACGTCGCGTCGCTTCTGAATCTAGGTACCTTAATACTTTATCGATGCGTGCGACTTGGTCATTAAGATGGTTTGCGAAGGGTTCGAAATACATGGGGTAAAGAGCCAAGCCAAGATATCGATTAAATAAACTTCGTTGCTCTTCGATAGAAACAAACGCTGCAGAGCAATTAAATGTATAAAAAACGTATTTTTCTATATTAGTTTCAACAAAATTAAATACACAACGTGAATAATAATATTTCGTTTAAAGAGAAATTAATTTTAGAAAATATAATAAAAATACTTTTAATAAAAGGTTATGATAAGCGACAGTATCTATTTATAAACAACTCTATGTGTTGTGTACGTGAGTTTGTAAATCGCCTTTGTTTTCTCAATGCAAAAAAACATTACATTGTACGAATTTATCAAAACAACACAAAATACTTGAGGAAAGATAAGGAAAGGGAAAGTAATGTGGCGCCTGTCCTCTTCTGCTTTTTTACCCAACATCCTTATTCAATTATTTGTCTCTATATGATCTGCGATCTTAATTTTCTAAACAAAATTAACTCAATATTAAAAAAAATTTATAATTTACTCAATAATTAAGTAAATTAAAACAAATTTATGCCTAGATAATAAATATAAGTCTAAAAAAATAAAATGGAAAAAATGTTCTAATTCATAGCAAAAACAATATCATCTATCTATTTGATATATTGACTTAAACTTGCTTCATAACAATATTTATACAAAGCAAAAAATGTGTTCTCATTGCTGTAAATCGTACTTTTGCAATAAATATTTTAAATTAAAAATCCATATTAATTTGATAAAAAAGAGCACATAATTGATATAAATTTAATTCACCTAATGTTAATACAAATAAAATAGTGGGAAATTAATATCTTGAAAAATTAAATTTCAGTTTTAAGCAGCTTATTCGATTTCAGAATTAACAATTATTTTTAATTATCTTAATTAAAAAAGAGTTAAATGCATAGTGGGAGGAAGCGAAACGAATAGAAAATAAAAAAATTCCCAATATTCTGAGTGTGCGGCAATAAATACCAAGCGAGATTTCAAAGAGAAATTTCCCACTAAAGGTTCCTTGCTGAGAGTTTGAGGGCATGAAGGACGATGCAATTAACATCATGGACCGTGGTACGTCATGCAATTAACTTGAACGAACGAACAAGCGGCCTTGCCCTTAAATGTATGTATATTAAAAAATATTCTGTATTATTATTGTCAAATATACTGGATATTCTTTTTAGATATTCTTTTTATGTTTATAGCATATTTACGTATTGGATGACATTGACTCGTCAGAACAACTGCAAATCTAGATTTCAATTGTTGGAGAATCTGTATAACAACTTGAATAATTAATCACTATGCACCCAACATAATATGAACACAAGTCTCGGAAAAACTGCACAGTCTCTTTTGATTTTTCGTAACGAATATACTAATTTAAATGTAATACGTTCAAGCACATGATTTTGAATTACTGTAACGTGACGAAGCGGCACTAAATATCATTATAGATTTGAAATTACGCGTAGTTATTATTCGCGGCAAGACACTACGTTCTCCATTTGAAACTTATTGCTACAAGACACTGCACTAGAACTTTTTTGTCTGGAATCTAGACTCGAAAGTTGAATACCAGACAAGGGAAGCATTAGTACCTTTGACGATACGATAGTGAACAGAACGAAGCAAGTTAAGAACTGAGAGAAAGAAGATGGAGTAGAGAGAGGCGCCGGTTCCGCCAGGCAGATGTACCGACTGCACTCACTCTCTCCTTTACCCTCTCTCTCTCACTCATTTACTCACTCACTCTTTCTTTAACTGTCTAAGACTTATAAGACGGTTATAAGTATTAGAAGACGAACCTGATTGCGGGGCGGCGCACCGAATTATGATCCGCTATGCGCTTTCGGCGGGTTCGCTCGTTTTACCTTCCTCCCCTTCTCACTCTCTCTCTCTCTCTCTCTACACGGCCATGCTTGCTTGTGATTTCGCCTTCACTTCGCCCCGCACCCTCTTCCTCATCGACGCGACGTCGAGTTGAGAAGCTTTTTGTTGCTCATCCCCACCCAGGGCTATGTACCCCCCACTTTTTTCAAGACTGCTTCTCCAGGCATGCTCGCCTCGCACTAGTGTGTACAATGTATAGTCAAGTTATACTGTTCTCGCTTTGCCCACAACTGCATTCGAAAAATCGACATTGGACTATGGCTTTCACTCATTCATCACCATACATTTATGAAATTTGCGCACGCGATCTTAAAACGTCTCTTTGGAAATCTTTCTTTCCACTTAGATCTTATATTATATACACATTGTCAATGTTTCGTTATTCAACCTGCTACCTCAAATTACAATTATAATTTGCACGATTTTCACATATTCTTAACATCTATAAAATATGCATTTGATAAATACGTAAGATGTAGCAACAATTATATATGTATATATTAAATTTCAATCACATTTTCCCCTTATATTTTTGACATGAACAATAATTTAGTAAACAATCTCAGGCTGTATATCAATATTTGACTTCAATTTTAATTTATTTAGTCTGTACAATATTAAATTCAATGAAAATAATATTTTGGATTTGAATAATTCACATATTTGTATATTAAATGTAATACAGATTTTTATAGCAAAGTGTACTTAAAGGGGACTTTTTTCAGCCAGAGAAAAATTATTATTTTACTCACTTCAGTAAATGAATTCCAGAAGTGAAGAATATTTTTCTCTTCTAGAGAGTTAAAATAAAACGTGAAATCATTTTTATTTTCTGCTGATAATGTAGATCTCGCGGCTTTTTTAAAAATAGAAAAAAAGATTTTTACTTTTTTGTTGATTCTAAAAAAATTAAAGGGTTTGTATTCATCACACGGACGGAGAATTTTGAGCGTGACAACGTCTTTTGTAATTAATTAAAATACATTTTATAAAATTTTTATTTATTATTTATTTTGTACTTAAACACACTTAAAAAAATTTATTTGATTCAAATACTTGATTGCTTGACTGTTATCAAATACATATTTACTTGAAGCAAATAAATTGTATTTGAACCAATAATTTTTGGATTCGTAACAAATATCATTTAATTGACTATAAAATAATAATTATTTGATATAAACAAATATTTATTTGATAAAAATCAAAGAAACGATTATTTGAATCAAATAAATTTTTTTTTCAGTACATAAAATTAGAATAAACTGCCAATAATTTCCAAACAATTAAATTTCAAAAATTTCAAAACGAAATGCCACAGTATTATCAAATGCTGAAATTTTGCACAGGAATAATATGAAAACATAACCTTAATCATGGATCCTTAAATAGCACGTATAAGCTTACAGTAACCTTGTGGCAAGCTTGCCGCGAAATATTGCCAAGCTTAACGAAAGATTGCAGTGTAAGGTTACTGCAAGATTGCACAATAAGATTATCAAAAGATTGCTCAACAAGCTTGCTCGGTAAGCTAGCAGCAAGGTTGTCAAATAACCTTGCTTTGAACCTAAAATTTTTTTTAATGTTTCGTTCAATTTATATAATTTTATTATATAAATTATACCTAGAAAAAAGTTTCTTTGTTTCAAAGAACGTTTCTTTGAATCAAAAAAAATTTGTGCATTGTTATGGGGCCGAAGAAAAATTTCTTTGATTTAAAGAAATTACTTCTTTACTTGATTTTTGTTGACTCAAAGAAATATTTCTTTGATTTTAAGAAATTTTTTATTTGAATCAAAGAAATAAATGTTTATTTTAATGCATTAATTTCTTTAATTGAAAAATATATTTATTTCATTTTGAGATTATATATACGTTCGTATTTTGATTAAAATATAATTTTAAAATATTAAATTAATTAAATATCTTTAAAATACTTGAAAGGTATTTCAAAGACATTTAATTAATTTATTACGGACTTTTACAAGTGAGGTTACATGTAAAACACTGAACAAAACTTCATGGCAGAATTTTAATCACGAAAAAAACAATCAATACACTGCGAGTCACTATTTACACATTTCACATATCACTCGTAAATCCCAAAGACACGAACAATTCACAAACGTTTTCATCACTCACTGTAAGAAAAACTAAAACAAAATTTAGCTATTAATACAAAACTTTTTAGACTACAAATCCGATTATAATAATTATCACGCCCAGCTCGGCACAATGAAAAATTTCTTTTTCGTAAAAACAAAGAAAAAATTTTTTTAATTCAAACAAATTTTACCTTTGATTCAAAAAGTGCGTTTAAAAAACGATTTCTTTGTTTCAAAGAAATCTTTTTTCTTGGTGTAGACAAAACATTAAAAAAAAATTTTAGGTTTAAAGCAAGGTCAACCTTGCTATACAAGCTTACCGTGCAAGATTACAGAGCAATCTTTCGGTAAGCTTACCATGCAAGCTTGGGTTGCAAGGTTGCTGCAAGCTTATACGTGCTATCTGGGGATTTACTCTGTTCAAGAATTGTGGTGGACCAGTTAATTATAAGAATTCTTGAACAGAATAAATCCATGATTGAGGTTATGTTTTAATATTATTCCGGTGCAAAATTTCAACAATTGGCAATACTGTGGCTATATACTATGTACCTACACAGGCTATAACACTACATTACACCACAAGATCGCCACACATTTTTTTCCCGTTGTAGACGCAGCCTCGAATAACGACACGAAAACAAAAGAAAGTGACAGCGCTTCAGCAGACATGTTTATTTTCACTATTACACATATATAGGTACAGTGGATAGGTATACTGTCAGCATTTAGCGCTGTACTAACATGTAGTTAAATCTTTAACCGGTCGGTAATAGAGAAAGCTATAAAAAATTTAATTTCCAAATTCGACAAAAATAAGTTTGGCATCGAGATTAGATCGAAAGTAATCGAATAACACAAAAATCTTGAAAATATGACTTCCCGTGCAGAAATTTTCCTAATTAATTCTACTTTAAGTAAGGCTCTCTGATGGCCCTTGCCAGTTTTTCCACAAGTCTGGCATTTCCCAGATTAAAAGATAGTTACTTGGTTATGCCATGTTTGCAATATAACCTAGAAAACTACAAATCAAGGCAGTGGAAAGGCCCTTGCCAGTTTGTCCACAAGTATGGCATTCCTTAGAGCAACTCGGTCTTGCCATGGTTTTATGACATAACCTCAAAATAGAAAGTCATTTTTAACACCAAATAAAACTATAATAAAATTAAATTTCCATGCAAAATATTTTATCAAGTAATAATTATTTAATAATATTATTTATGAATTTTAAATTATTTAAATAACAATTAATTAATTTATTAAAATTATTAATTTTTTAAAAAATTAAAGAAAAATTAATTAAGTTAATTTTTTAAAAAAATTTAACAATTTTAATCTAAGAATTTTATCAACAACTCAAAAGAAATAAGTGATTTTTTCTTTACAAAAACTAAAATTTATTTGTCTTTTTTTTACTATATTATCTATATTTTAGATAATAAGAAAAATTATGTTCCTAAGTTTTAATAAAATAAAAAAATGAATATGTTAAATAAATTATTTAAAATTAAAAATAAATTATAATTTATATATAATTATTGTTTCTTTATTGTTCTGCTGCTCAAGTCTTCGTTTTTCTCAGTCGCAACTTATCAAATCAATTTTGTATTTATTTTCTCACGTTAAGTTGGCGTAATGGTTAGCCTGTTAGATTACGGAGCGTTAGGTTAGGGGGTTCGATCCCATCAAGCGTTAAATATTTTTCAAAATTTATGTAAGCAATTGCGTTAAATAATAATAGGTAGGGGTAAATATAAGGTCTCCAGTAATAAATAATGTGTCAATTGTATAATTAATTCCATATTTAATTTTTTTGAATAGTGTTGGTGTTACTACATATTTGAAGTTGGGTCGACTTTGGGATTATTATTTGTCAGGCTAGAATTGTGCATTCTTCTGTTTTTGTTTTGTTACAAGTTTTTGTTGCTTACTGATTCAATCAATTACTCATTACAACTGATTATAAGCCTGTAGTACATTTTTTACTGATTGTTATTTTTGTCACAAAAGGGTAATTCCCAGGAAAACTCTCATGGCCCTGGCAAGAACATCCCTAAGTAGGGCAAATCCTTGCAAAATCGTTTCAAGCCATTACTAGGGCCTTGCCAGTTTGCCATGTCAGGCCCTTGCCAGAATCCTGGCGTACTGGGAAGGGCCTTGAGAGGCCCACACCATAATTTCTGCACGGGTTATAGGTAGTTTTCGAGAAATCGCCTTCAATATGAACGCCAGTTTTTCTGACTGATTCCCTAGATCTCGCAGAAAGACGTTGTCACGTCAAAAAAAACGTTGATTAAAAATATAATATGAAATTTGTAAATTCAAATTTTGACGGATCCAATACTACCGATTTTTTTTGTTAAATTTGTTTAAAATTCGTTTTCCGGAGGGTTTTTGGGATCGTCAATTATGAATTTAATGTTATTTTTCAAAATTCAAAATGAGGGGTCCAATATGGTAAAAAGTTCTTTTAAAATTGAGCTGAGCTAGTGAGAAATCATCGAGACTCATGATTGGCATTGCATTGAACAAAGTTGGCGACCAATATTGGATAACCTCTAAAATTTTGAGGGATGATAGATTTGAGTACAAGGAATGACACTGTTCTCCGAAAAATACTTAATTTTGAGTTAAATTATTAAAAAATGAAATTTAAATAAAAGTGACACTTTTAAACGAAAATGAAAACAAAAATGGAGGCGCATACACGCAGATGTTACTTGAGTATGTCAGTGCTCCAGGAGACAGCGCCAATTCGAGAAAGTGCGATTAATGAATGAACTATATGATATAATATTATACTACTATTTATTGCTTTATTTCTACTATTTTTGCGTTAAGTTTTATAGTATAAATGAGTAGAACAGCGCTTTGTATCAAACAAAATTATTTCTTCAAAGTTTTAACCCCAAATAATTTTTTATTTCAGAATAAGTTTGAAACCACAAAAAACGTCCTTTGACCATTTCTAATTCCATTATTCTTGCAAGCAAGGACTGTCACCTGCACGAAACTATACGGTATATGATGATCGTATCTAGTCGGGTTCAAGACACTATACGATTAGTAATAGATGGAACGTATCGTGTCCCCACTCGATACGATTAATAATAGGAGAAAAGTATCGGGCTCAAGATACAAGATACAATACGATTCTCAAGTCTCTTTTCGTATCGTGCCCGGAAACAATATGATTCTCAAGTCATTATTCGTATCGTGCCCGGATACAATACGATTCTCTAGTAATTTTTCGTATCGTGCCCGGGTACAGTACGATTCCCTAAATCATTTTACGTATCGTATCTGGACAACATACAAATCTCAAGTCACTATTGGTATCGTACTCGGACACGATACGATTGTGAAGTTAATAATCGTATAGTACCTAGGACCAGACCAGCCACGATACGATTGTTCCGTGACAGTCCCTGCTTGCAAGAAACTGATGAGTACTCTTTTTCTACAAACCGCCTATAGAGATTCAACTCCTTATACTACTTCGTGATTATAACATAATATATACAGTACAGTCTCGGTAAGTGTTGGATGCTCGGGACCACAATATTCGATAAGTGTCGGATTACCTCTTGCATCGTGATGGGGCGGCAGACAGTGCCGTAACAGTCCTTTAAAAATAGTAACTGCTGTACGAATCTTCCATTATTAATAGTCAAAATACAATTGAAAAGTATAAAAATTACACTGAGAAAATTATGGTGAAACTGCTGGCTTCACATGCGAGCCACCAGAGTTTTCTGCCTCAGGGTCCGCTATTCGCCCAGAAAAAGCAAAGTAAAAAATAATTTTCATAGAAATATTCATATCGAATCGTAGCTTTTACCTTTTTTTAACATTTTTTGTACATTTTTTTACCTCTTGTAACAAGTTTGTTGAGTAAGCTTGCAACAAGTTTACCGTTTAAGCTTGCAGCAATGTTTGCTTGCTATCTGGGATACAATATAACCTTGCAAGAGCATAGCTGGATAGCTTTTATCAGTTTTAAAGTCACGGGAAGCTGGGAGCAATACCTTATCAATTGTAGCGGAAATACGAAGTATTGTTGTCAAGATTGCATGGAAATGTTTTCTTTTTATAAGTATAAAAAACTATCCGCAAACCCTATGTGTTCACATAAATGGGTAATTAAAATGACATTATTAAAATAGATATGGTCACGCATGACAATAACAAGTGTCGAAAAGGTGTTAGATGTTTGACCACGTGTCGTGTGTCTCTTTCTTATTATTGAAAAGATAGTACAGTTAAGGTTAACACTATACGGGCTTTAAGTAGTATATTTTGTTGACGTATTATCATTCGCATGCGCCTATACACTGATCGATAACTAAAAGTCTCTACTATGTATCTAGTTTAACTTGCAAACCGAACTTTTACGATTACAACCGAATATAACCGATAATTCCCGATTGTTTCCGAGGGTCAGCGAAGATTCACAGTATTCGTCGTCTGCCACCGTCAACGTATTAGGGTTCTAGCTCGTCGATTTCAAGTTTTCATAATCGTCGCGAAAAACAACCCTTTTAGTTATTGCAATCTGTTTTCGCGATAACTGTTTGTCACGAGTTGCATGATAATGATGTTTAATTATATTGTCATCAAAAAATAACGGTGTCATTCAATTTTTCTGTTCAGAAAGGTAAACAATTGTCGTAAACAATACATGTGCGATACTTGTTTCTTAAATAATAATTCCTAATTATTTTTTTAATGTGTTAGGGTGCAAAGTATAATATACAATAAATTGTAAACGATATAAATCCGCGGGTTTGTTATAAACAATTGGCTGAACATTACTGTTGCTTGTTCAGGAGTGTACAGTGTTTATACTTGCAAATTAAATTTATATTTTATCATATAATACACAAAACTTTTAATATAGAGAAGAGCATAAGGATTCAGATTCACGTGTCAAGCCAGTTATAAAAATTATTCAACACTTGTACTGCTGTAAGTATAAATTAAATTTATAGAATAAAATATCTACTAATTGTAATAAAAATAGTTTGAAAATGTAAAGAAAAAATTGAATAAATAAGTATACATCAGTATACATTTCCTGTGGGGTGCAGCTGAGCTGAACCGGGCGCGACCCACAGCCCTAGATTTGTGTCTTGTGACATCCAAATGCAGGAGGACGAGTCCACGTACGCGTTATCAGTTTTGCTTTCTCATAAAAGAGCATTGTATGTCATTGTTTCGATTTTTAAATTTATAAAAATAGGTTATTTTTAAATCTTTTAAATGAAACACATTATAGATGAAAAAGAATAATTGCCCAGATGCTTGTGTCACGATTTCTGGTTGCCAGAAGAGTTTATGAAATTTAGTAGGTTTATTGTTGCCATTAATATTTTAATTTGTACGAAATAGCATTTCAGTTTTATTACCACAGGTCTCGAATTGAAAAAATATCCATTTTAACAAAATACAAAAATTTAACCCAATTAAATTAGCCAATGTTCATTTTTGTTATTATACTTTAAATTTAGACCTTTCAGGGTTAACAAATATAATGCATGAGATGTCAATGTAATGGGGAAAGATTTTTGCAGACAATAAATAAAATTTAACTGAACTTCACTGAAAATGACAAAAATATCGTAAAGGTTTTCCGAAGCAATGATATGGTTGTGGATACCATTAAGTGATTTATGAGACCGTATTCCGACTTTAAAATAGGTTTTGATTAGGATACACTGAAAGAAATGTTTTTTCATTTAAATTGTTGATAAAATGAGGTTATGTTGACAAATTTTATGTTAACTCAAACTACATGTGTGCAGAGTGACATTCCGTAAATTGAAACTATATGTACTTATACAGTAAACTGCTAAAAAATTTGGTAAATTTTCCTATTATCTCTTGTGTAAATTAAACAATTTCTCTAAATCAATAAGTAGTTTTTCCAAAAGTTTTGTAAATTCTATACCAAACTTGTGCATATTTAATTATTTGAAAAATATTCCTAAAGCTAGGATAATTTCTTAGAAATTTTATTAATTACTCTTTTTTGAAAATCATTTTCTTTAGAACAATGATAAAGTTTATTAAATATGCATGAAAACTTTTTTAAACATAGAAAAAAGTGTTATTATAACTCAAAAAATGGTGTTAAAACAGCATACAACATTTTTAACACCAATTATATGGGATTAAAAGTGGTTAAAATAACAAATGTAACAGAAGCACCACTTCATTTTTCTTATGAAGCTTTAAATTAGCTGCAATATGATTGCTATTATTGACTGGGTAGTGATGCACGTCAAGAATCTTTCTTTTCATAGAACAAAACACACTTGTTTTCAATGTGATTTTGTCGAGATCCTTGATTTTATCGCTTGAATCTTGCTCCAAGATCACACTTGAATGCATCAAGGATAGCTAATTGGTAGCTGTCACAGCAAAAACTTTTAGCTCACGGAAAAAAATTAAACTTTAGAATAACAAGTTCAAAACTTACTTAAGAAGTTTGAATATTCAGATCATATAAGTAAAATTTCAGGTGAAGTGGTCAAGTGGTAAAAAAATTTTTCTCTAATTGTGCTCAAACTTGGATAATTTGTAGTTCTATTAGATGGGAATTTAAAATTTGTATGATAGTCGATCGAGAATACCAGTATAGTTTACCTGAAAAAGTTCTCTGCAAGAAATGTTTGAAGTTCATTTTGTAAGGATCCGTGTGGAAATTTATTATGGCACTGTAACGACCTAGTCTAGTTTGACTATTTACTGTAATAGCATGACGTAGTGTAATTGGTCTTGACTCTCTTAATCTTAATCAGTGAGAATCTCCACTGATTTTAATTAATAACACAATGCTCACTGATTGAATCAGTGCGATTTTCACTGGTTTTTATAATAATGAGAACTGGTCCACTAAATTGAAAAAAACCAACTTAGTCATTTCATTTTTTAATTCCTTTTGTTATTTATCTGTAATTACAGGTCAACACTGATTTTGGTGCATGTCAAAACTGTTTCTGACGGGTTTTTTCTTGCTGAACCTCTAGCACTGAAACAAAAGGTCGTAGAATCTTCCACTTAGGCTTAAATTGAAGCTGCATCATTCTAACATAATGACCTCAAAGTCGTTTGTATTAAATTTTTGAGTCGCAAAAATTAATTTTGGAAAAGTTTGAGCGAGTACCTCTATTTTTATTTTAGCTTAAACTAAAGTTTAAACTTTATGTTGCAATCCTAAAAAATTATATTGATACAACAATAACATTAAAATTGTTGGTAACCATTGTTAAAATAGCTTCTTTTGTTGAAAGTAAACAATTTATTACCAAGGAGTTTGAGGTTAAGGTGCTGGAAATTAATTTTCGCAGGGATTGTAGTACACACTTAAATTATTCCAAAATTAATTTTTGCAACTCAAAAATGGATTACAAATGACTTTGAGGTCATGGTGTAAAAAATGTGATTTTTGGGAATTATAGTTGAAACATTAAGCTTCAATTTAAGCCTAAGTGAAAGGTTCTATGACCTTTTGTTTCAGTGCTAAAGTACTTAAAGTTCGCCAAAAACGCGATTTCTTGACATTTTAATCCCGTTTTTCTCAAAAAGTAGAGCTGATAGAAACTTTTCGTTTACGGATTCGTGTTCAGCATGAAAAAACCTATCAGAAACAGCTATGGCATTTGCTGTACTAAAAAAATTTCTAAAAAAATGCCCTTACTTGAAATTCCTATTAAATAATATAATTAAATAATATCTTTAAATATTTTTTTTATTTTGTCAATAGTTCTCGACAGGTGAACATTGTACAAAGTATTTAAGACATAAAAAAGACTTACAGCTTCTTTTGTATTAAAATATCCAATAATAACACATTTTAGACAATAAAACACAAATATGGTTTCTTAGCAATTAAACGTGCAACAATATTAAATTTTATAAATTTATATCGTGTTAACGAAAATCTGATGGCTGACACAATTCTCCCATTCCCCAAAGATTTTCACAACAAATTTATTAATACTACATCAAACTACTAGCCACGAGCTTGTATGGGTATTAAGCTTCCCGTGTGGAAATCTTCAAAAGGCGTTAGAGAGGCCCTGGCCAATCTGCCTTGTGAATAGAAAGGGACTGGGCAGTAATATTGGCCAGTAACTGGACAGGCTGTAATGCTAGTTTTGGGGAATGCCTTTAAAAGGGGAAACTGGCCAGTGCCTGGCATGTTTTTCTGGAGAAAGCCTTGTTCTTTTTTTAGTAGAAGCCTTTTCGTTTTTACAACAAAGTTTTAAATAAATAAATTAAAATTAATTGTTACATAATCTTTCTCATGAATTTATAAAAAATTAATTACATTAATATTAACTTATTAAAAATATTAATATATTTATAATTTAAACAAGGATAGAATTAAAAAATATATTCAGAATACTCATTTCAACAAAATAATATTTTAGTTTAAAAATTAGTTATTATTTAATTTTTTTAAACTTTTTTTTATTTGAAGGCAGGAATTTTATGCACATTTATGTCTATTATTATTTAAGAGTCAACATTAACATTCTATGTACACAGTTATACTTACATACAAACATACATATATTCAGAAAATTCCTAACGCAGGGATTCGAACCCCTAACACAATATCGCAACGCAAGTTTGGATAACGCAAGGACGCTTTAAACCGCTCGACCATATCGGAGGTCGTGTAGAATTCACTTTGGAGAAAAGTGTACTTTTAAAAGACAGGTCATGTAAACCCTCCCCCCTCTCTCTCTCTATCTCATCCTTTAAGAAAATGAAAACCCTAAGTTATTTAGATTCTTTGCAGGTATGGATCGTTTTATGGGGTCTTTCTTACAATATGTCACATGTTTATAGCAAATTTTTGGGATTTCCCAGATGCAATTATACTACTCCTATTCGAAATGAAATTATATTATCTTAAGTATTTAAAATAACAAAAAATTAATTTTATGGTTGAGCCAAAAACAGGTGACAAACCATTTAACTAATAAAATGTTTCATGTTTATTATTCATATTAATACTTAAGAAAATAAGCTTCTCAATGTGTAACTTTTGTTTCATTCGACATCTTCTAACACGAAGACGACTCAGTTCGTCTCTTTTTCTTTTATTCTGTCGTTGCCGAGAATTTATGGTAAAAATCTGTATGGTATTGATAAGTATTTCTATTGAAAGCCCTATTAAGAGCTCTGGCGAGAAATTCTATATGGCGTTAGTTAATATTTCTGGTGAAAGCCCTATTAAGGGATTTGGCGAAAAATTCTATGTGGCGTGAGCCAGTATTTCTGGTAAAAGCCCCATTCAGGGCATTGGCTAGAAACTCTAGTTTGGTGTTGGCAAGTATTTCTGTTAAAAGCCTTTTTAATGGCTCTGACCAGAATTTTTGTACGGCATTGACGAGTATTTCTGTTAAAACCCCTTTTAAAGGCTTTGACCAGAATTTTTTTAAGGCATTGACAAGTATTTCTGGTGAAAGCCTTATTAAAGGCACTCACCAGAAATTCTATTAAACACCACACATTTTGGAAAGGCGTTTACAAGTAACACTGGTAAATGCCCTTATAAGGGCTTCAACAGAATTTCTGGTAAACGCCATGAAAAAAAAAATTGTAATAACCGTTAAATAATGATATTTATTAATAGTTAACAACGGTATTGGAAAAAAAAGTTATTAAAAACTTGTATTTATATATTTTTTTATTAATCTAGAAAAACTGGCCAGGGCCTCTCTAACGCCTTGTTATTATCAGGGCCAAACAGGGCCATTTCCACACGGGTTGCTGCAAGCTTATGTGCTGATTAGGTTTGTTAGTTTCCCTGCATGGAAAGAAATTATTTTTGATTTTTGTCAAAAAATGAAAACAGAAATTTTATTTATTTATTAATTTCATTAACGGATTATTCGTGTATTTAAATGTGTATTCTTTTGTTTTATTAAAGTAACCTGAATAAATATAATTCTACTTCGGCCATATAATAACAACATAACAAAAGGCTAACATATAACCTTATTTTAGTGACAGTTGAAAGATAATTCCTAATCATAAGTTTACATTGTAGTAGGTAATCTTAATTCTCATTTTCTTTTTTTCTTTTTCTGGTTTACAGAAGCTAAAGAAGGAAAGATCTGGAAAGCAGAAGAGTCGTTAGCCTGAGTTGGCCGAGTAACCGAGAAAAATAAGTATAAGAAAGCAAAAACGTAGAAAGGAAAGGCTGAAAATAAAGAGGAAGAGGAAAAGAAGGTATCACGACGGTGGTGGTGTTGCTCGTAGTGTCTCGTTATCAGGTGAAGGGTGTCGTGAGGGTTCCAGGCGAAGTAGTTGACAGGTGTGATGTGGTGGAGTCCCCCGGAGGATCGCGGGGGCAGGAGGCATATCGAAGCAGGTTGGTCGTGAGAGCCCCAGGTTCAACTCGTTTGCCCCGCGGCTGCGAGGCCGGTGGGGCGTCAGAGGAGGAAGAAGAAGGATGGTGTGACCTCCGGCGTTATTCCGCTCGACGCGGAGATAGTGGCGGAGGAGGAGTCGAGCAGCTGCTGCTCGATTCGGAGGAGGAGGAGCTGGCGATGTCTAGGCAGCCTCGCGGAGAACGGGATCACCTGAACCGCGAATCTCGCGATCATCGTGACCTCCGCGATGTTCGCGACCTTGGAGATGCGAGGGTGTCACATGTGGTTAACAGGCATCGTCAGAGGCACTATGAGTACGACCCTCATCCTGCAACAGGACCCTCCGCCTCTTCAGGACCTGTCAACAACCAGGTAAACTTCTTCTGCAATCATATTTAATTTAAGGATCCAAACTGAGCGACCAAACTGGACTCCTTGTTTAGATATTTTATACCATTTCACTCTCTAACCAATGTAGAGCCACCTGCATTTCTTTAATTAAGTATATCAGCCGCCGCAGTTGTCGTGCTTGGGCGTTTATTTATTTTTGTTTTTTAAATTAAAGTTCCTATAAAACCCTACTTAAACTAAGACATTGCCATGGGGCTCGCACCTGTTTTCCTAATTTGAAAAATTGGGAAAAAGTAATATGATAGTCTATATATTTTATATATTTACTGTTTTTCACTAAAAGACAATATCGATAGAAAAAGAAAAGCAGAAGCAAATCGCACTCGTATAACAAACCATCGAAAGAATAATTTGTTTGACAAATTTTTTCACAAATTAGTACTTTTGTAAGATCGCTAGTTGACTAAAAATTTAACTTTTTTACTAAGCGCAGTTCTGTAAGATTGCTAGTCGAACAAAAAACATATACATACATTTAATTTATTAGTAGATGTTAATACAGGGCGCATAAATATCATATGGAGCGTATGAATTTATTTTTAGACGAATTTTCATTTTTCGAATTAGCATTTGAGTTACTTTCTTTGTAAACGAAATTTTATTTAACATAATTTTTATTTTATAACAAATTTTTTGTTGTCCAACTTTTTATATTACAGAATTGTAATTTAAACCTTTTTTATTTTATCAAATTCTCATTCAACAGAATATTAGTGATTCGAATTATTTAATGTCAGAATTTTTAAACTATCGAATCTGCATATGCCAGAATTTTTATTTACACGAATTGTCTCAGATAGCAAAATGCGCTCACAGTGTCAGACATGTAGCTCGTACGTGTGTCGATTAACCTGCACGCGTGCTCTTACTGGACTAAACAGATGCGTCCTCAAATGCGAGGCATGTTAGTCGCACGCATTAAGATCGCATTCATGATGAAAAAATGAGTCTAGACCATATTCAATTTCTAATTTTAGTTAACCCTCTGCCTGTCCACTTGATCGTTATTGACAAAAAGCGACTATTCGGTCGCCTGGTGGGGACTATGGGAAATACATTCTGTAGCGCTGGAGTCGGGAAAACCCTAATAACTCCAGTAACCTTACACTGCAATCTTTCGGTAAGCTTACCATACAAGCTTGGGTCAGGTGGGACATTTGAAGCTTGGCGCAAGGTTGCTGTAAGCTTACGTACTATCTGGGTAGTCACTTGATTCCTTCACACGTGCGAGAACACACTCGCATGAGAGAAACCCAAATTTTACACTCTAAATCTGAATCAGTGATGAGTTATTTGATAGAATTCCTAAAACAGCGAATTTTTATTTGATAGAAATTACAAATGGCTGAACAAACAAACGTAAGAAAGATTTCGGCGCTAATTTTAAAACAGACCAATTACAATTTTCTTAATAATTTCTGATTGATCTATTATAAAAACTGCGCAGAAATCTTTCTGACGTTTGTTTGTTTGGCCATTTGCAATTTTTGTTAAATAAAAATTAGCTGTTTTAAGAATTCTATCAAATAACAATTCGTGTAAATAAAAATTCAAACAAATGGAGATTCTATAAATTAAAAATTCTGACATTAAACAATTCGAATAACCAAAATTCTGTTGAATGAGAATTCTGATAAATTAAAATTAAGTTAAATTATAATACTTTTAAATAAAAGGTGGATAAAAAGAAATTCGTTAAAATAAAAATTATGTCAAATAAAAATTCAGTACCCAAAAATTGTGTTAAATAAAATTTCGTTTACAAACAAAGTAACTTAAATGCTAATTCGAAAAATGAAAATTCGTCTAAAAAGAAATTCTGTCAAATGAAATTTATACAAATGAAGGTTCTAGCTAATCATTTTTATGGGGAATTCCGTTATTACTTTTACGTAATCAAAAAAACTTTTATTATTAAATATAAGAATTTTAATCAAATGATTTTAAAAAGTAGAGTGTTCGTATAAAAAACTGCTTAGACACTTACTAGTTTTTCCTAAGTAAGACATTGGTGTGGAAAAATATCACACTTTTGTAAAGCACTAGCCAGTTTCCTTGACAAGGGCCCCACTAGAACTAGAGCATTGGCTCATTTTGAGTTGCAACAAAAATGAGACTAGGTTTTTTCTGTGATAGGTTCACATCAAAATTTCTGCATTAACCTAAGTTCTTTTATCGAAAATTGAGGGTATCACATTTTTTATATCGACGACCCTTAAAGTTTACTTAATATTTAATTTTTGAATAGAATCTTTAGTATACTGCAAAAAAAAGTATCTTAATATAAGATGTTTTGGTAGTCATTTTTAAGATGTTTTGGTAGTAACTTTTTGGTTATTTAAAATATCTTAGTTTAAGATGTTAATAGTATCTTCGCCAAAGTGCTTTACATATTTTTGATGAAAAAAATTTTGAGGTTAACTATGGCCTCTTATGTAAGATGCTTAATGTATTTTATATATTTTAGTAACTTCAAATTCTGACGTATCTTAGAATTTACAAGCATCGTTTTTCTAAACATCTTATGACCCCACAAATATCTTAATTCAAGTTACTTATAGAAACTTACCGAAGTAACTTACAATTTAAGATGGAAGAAATATTTTCATTTTTGTTAAAACGCAAAAAGCATATTAAATATTAATAAGATACTTTACAAAATATCTTTTTTTAAGGTGGAAGATACTATTTTTCCATATTACATCTTATTGTAAGATACCAAATAAGTCACTTATTTTTGCAGTGTAGTTTTTTTGAGTCCTTGATTTAAGAATATCGAAACTATAACCGAACGAAACTAACATTACCGACATTTCCTGCGAAAACTAATAAATATGAACAATTTTACACATTGTCTGAAGTTGGCGGGCAATGTCGATTTTACCTAAAACAAATTAATAATTTTATTAATGTGAAATTAACTATTCAAAAGTACTACCAACTATGTAAGTTTAGTAAAAATCATTCTGAATATGGTAGTTTTAACTACTTTTTTTAATTACACAAGTGTGGTTGTTTTAGAATCGAAGAATGAATCGAATTCTTATTTTGAGGTTATGTTTGTTGCTAACAATTCTAAGCAAGCGTTGTTTCGAATATTTAAGAGATATACATATATGCAATACGAATAAATATTATTTTAAAATTAATGCTATACATATTTCTAAGTATAAACAAAAATACTCTGATAATAATTATAATTATTTTCAGTATACATTTTTCTCAGTGTAAGACTGTCGCCCAGTTTGAAACCCAGTTCCACGGAATTAGGTCATACAAGCTTGCAGAAGCAAAAGAGCATTTTTGCCGTCTAGTCTTGATCGGCTTGGTTCGCGATGTAGGGATGAGTCTGGACCAAACGGGTTTGTTTAGGCTTCTCTTTTTTTAATTTTATTTTTTTTACTAAGAAAGGATCCTTAGTCTCATGCCGCACATCGTGTCCCGTCCATAAAAATTATCAAAGTTACTGAAGCGTTAATATTGTTCAGAGTCACTTATAATTTTTACACTTGAATTACATTTTTATAATCTTTTTAATATTTACATTAAAATATTTCTAAAGAGAACTGTCAAACGTTAATTAAAAATTGGAATAAAAAAAATTGTTGCCTTTCAAATTTTTTTGGTAAATATTTTTATAATTAAAAGCAGGTATAGAAAAAAATGAAACATTTTATAAAAGTTAATTAAAATATATTTACACAACTTGAGGAAATGAAAAATATATTTTAATAGTGCCGTACGTATTACAATTTTGTATTTTGGTAAATTAAAAAGGTAGATTTTTTTAGAAAGAAAAAGCATTCCTGTCTGATGCAACACACACAAACTGTATTTTGTTACACTGTCCTATCCACAGTGAAACTAACACATTCTCTCTTTCCCTTTCTCTGTTTTCGCCCTCGGCTAGATACGTATACATGTAAGTACCTCTATTCTCGACCACTACCCTAAAATGAATTTCTATACAAAAACATTTCAAATCTGTTTAATGAACACACACTTGAAAACGGTTCCATCAGAAGGCACACATACATGTACCGTGCAAATCGACTTCGGCGGCGAGGCGAACATAGCTGGTTTACACACCTGCAAAAGACAAAAACAACCAAGGACCGCGCGCCACTAAAATTGCAGAATATTTCTTAGAATATCCAGTTGAATGTCAAAGTAGATTCGTCGCTGGGTTTTAGGCAAAGGGGTTTACCTGCTTGCATGATGTCCATATTTAGTAGGGTATTATTTTTTTATCTAATCTCTTTTTTTCATTTTAACCATTAATAAATAAATTCCAATTACACACTAAATCTAAATCTGAATAAGTGAAATTTCACTGATTTAGATTTAGACCAAGTTACGTAAAGCTTTGTTAATTACTATTATTATAGTTGATTTGTAAAGTGAACAGTATAAATAAATTCTTTTCTCGATGTATAGTTAAAAATTTCAAGTATGCTACCAAAGTTTATTTGCAATATAATATTTTAGTCCTGTAGAGAAGAAAGAATTTTGCGATGGCCTCGTGCAGTAGAACGAATAGAGAAGGGGGTCTGGCCTGGCCGAATATTTTGGCTCATAAAGGTCCTAATGAGCAACCGTCAGGATTATTTAATGGCACGTAGACGTAGGTAGAATAGGCATAAAGTAGGGGGGGCAGCGGAGGTAGGTAGAGTCGATGAGATGTGGGTAGGTACAGGTAGGGTAGGTACAGGTACACGATACTGCACAAGGCAACTTCTCTTTCCAGGTATAAAAAGGCGAGACATACCTACCATTTATTGAAAATATATGCGTGTACTATACATATCTGTGCTGTTTCACACATACCTCTGTATATAAAATTTTAAATATTTAAAAACGCATTCGTGCAATATGTATATTCTTTTAGTAACATTTAATTCATTTATAAGTCTTGATTAAATCACACAATGGCCTTAACGTTATTACATGAATCTAACTTT